AATTGTAGACTAATGTTGCATTGTGGGTCATAAAATGCTGAACCAATTCCACTCCCATCCTTAGATCCATCAGTAAAGAGTTTATAATAATTTTTATATCTCTGGTTGATAAAATCCACTCATAATAACTTTAAATTAAAATTACTGTAGCTTCGCTTTTTTTTTACAAGATTCGGGATATTACAATGAATTACATCATCCAAATCTATGTTGGTAACCCAGGTATTCATAGAAAACATTTCTAATTGTCGGCTGGAATGAATATAAACATTAGAAAGACAATCAAACATAGTTAACAATAGTGGTTTCTTTTTATTCCGCCAATATCTGTTGTCCTTGTATGTCAATAATTCTCGTAATATTTTAATTGTAATATTGTTTTCTCGTGACCTAGCTTTTAATATAAATTTACCTCCTAAATAAGTTCTCCGCACGTGCAACGGAAGGAGACCAAGTTCGTTCTCCATTGCATGTATAGGAGTTGTTTTAATAAAACCTCCCATTACTCTCAGCGCTTGATTTTGCACTTTATCTAGCTTACTTACATACTTTTGACAGCTGTTGTAGTATAAAAAACTTCCGTAATCAAGTCTACTCCTTATAATAGCAATATATAAACTTTTCAAATGTTTAGGGTGTATTCCCCACCCTGTCCCAGCAAGAACTTTAAAAATTTATTTAAGTATCTAGAAGTTTTATCAAGTAACTCAGTAATGTGTTTATTCCATTTTAAAGAGCGGTCTAACCACATCCCCAAATACTTTATAGCACTGACTACCTCTATTACATTATTATTAATATTTAGCGATATCTGTTGTCTATTGATGCCTTTCTTGAAGACACATACCTTTGTTTTGGTTGTTCGACAGGTCTTTACATGATAAACGCTTCAAATTGTATTTATGTAATTTATATTATGTACGTACCTATATATTCTATAGTAGGTACATTGCAAAAGTAAACATCTGAAATATATTAAAGCGCGTTTTTCCGTAATCATTACGTAAAGTGAATAATATATCTCTATTTAATAACGGTTTTAGTTGTACCACGCAGTTAAAAGGACGGAAATAGAACGAAAAAATCATGCATGTTCTCTGTCGCAGAAATACAACACGAGCGGTACCTAGGGACACGGAAATATGTGTCGCATTTAAAGGCGACACAAGCGGTCAAAAGGTTAAACAATAACATCCGTTTAAGGTCGGCCACATACATACGGAATTCCGTTTCCAGATTCCGTTTCGATATTCCGATTCGGAATCCCGAACGCAGCAAGTCCATATAAAATCTATGACCCGCCACACACGTACGGTAGTTTTCCGTTCGATATTTTGCGGGCAAAACGGGATTCCGTTTGTGTGTGGCCGACCGTTCGAAATTCCGAAACGGAATCTCGAAACGGAATTCCGTATGTATGTGGCGGGCCTTAAACGATAACATTATGACAACTTGTTGTTCATTCAGAATGTTATGTTGAGGTACCAATGTTTAGTCGATAAATAACATTTCGTTGCGTCTTTGTACCTGAATAAATAGTGCTTATAAAATTGTTATTGAAGAAATCGCAATCTTTTTTTTAGATAAGGGCCAAGTGTCTAAGAAATAAAACTTAGCAAATCTAATTGAAATCTATCCAGTAGTTTTTTTCCGTGATGCGCGCACAACTGCAAACCTTTCATTTTATTTATATAGAAAAATATTTTGTGTTATGAACAGTTTTAACACGTCCCTTAGCACCAATTTCGTTGTCCTCATTGTAGAAGAGGGAATCCTGTAAGTGCATCATAGGTTTCTTTACGACTGTCACGTTATTATTTTATTTGATAATAAATAAATAATAACAACAATTTTTTTTACAATGTTTAATAACACTACTTATAAAACTAGACTAATATAAGTACTTCTAAAGAGATATTTAATAACACTACTTGTAAAACTAGACTAATATAAGTACTTCTAAAGAGATATTTAATAATACTGCTTATAAAAAAATAAACTAATATAAATACTTCTAAGAAAATACTAAGTTGACTAATAATAAAAAAAAACGCAAATAAAATAAAATTAACAGGTCGCGGGTTCGACGCCTTTCAGGATCAGGAGAAAAAAAGCAAGTACTTCCCTGGCACGACTGGCGGCGAGTCCGGCGGAAGTGGTTGGAGATATGTGTCCTTTATAGACCGATTTCGCTTGCGAATTCAATGTATATTTTATATATATATATTTCATTTAATTCCAAATCCTCCCATCTTATCTCGTTTAGAAATAAAATAATAAGAAGGATGTCTCAGCCCCTGGCGAGGTTCCCCAATATAAGGGGAACAACCGTTAATATTTAATAATTATTAACAAACCTATAAAAAGCTATTAGCTATAATTTGCATAACGTATGCGTTTTGAATTATTTAATATAGATGCAGAAATGCATTTAGGCGACTGGACCTTCACGGTCACACTGAGGTCACTCGTCAGCCGCGCGGACTATTCATGCACCCCCACTTGTCTTCGCGCGAATTAGATGACACATTACAATACCCCGCTGGCCACCCAAGGATTTTTCTTCCTATAAGTAGAAAAATCCGCAGCAAAACCAAAAAATATGCTATTTAGACAATTTAAAATCTTTTATGTGCCATGGCCCTAAATATTTACCGTGCATGTCCTCCAATTCGTACACTAGAGGTGACCTCTTTTTAGTTATGCGGCATTTAATAAATTTTGGGGCTAATTTTTTATTAAAATATTTGTGTTTATCACTCAGATAGTAAGTGCGCTTAAATACAATATCGCCTTCGTTAAATTCTGTGAACCTTCTCCTTAAATTATAGCGTTTGGAATTTTGTTGATGATGATGCCATAGTGATGCCTGAACTTTGTTGAATATTTTAGCGAGATAACCGATGTTCTCAGCATAGGCGTCTCGCGGTAAGAAAACAATTTCATCGCCAAGGTCGTTGTCAACGTAGTGAGAACCACATATTACCAATTCACGCCCATATACAAGGAATGAGGGAGTGTAACCAGTAACCTCGTTAACGGAGTTGTTTATTGCAAACAGTATTTTAGGCAAATATACATCCCAAGAACGCTGATCTTCTTTCACAAAGGTCGATATACAGGTGACAATAGTTTTATTATAGCGTTCCACCAAATTAACCTGAGGAGTATATTTAGGTGTAAGAAAAACGTTAGGAATATTATACTTATTAAATAACGCAATGGTCTTCTCACAAATAAATTGGCTGCCATTATCCATATACACCGTTTGGGGAATGCCATGTGTTAAAAATACAGAGTCTTCCAGATGTTTAATTACAATGTCGGCTGTAGCTCTTCTTACCGGAAACGCTAAACAATATTTGGAGAAACAACATGTTACGACTAAGATATAAGAATTTTGTTTTCTACTAACTGGCAGGGGTCCGATGAAATCAATTGAAATAATTTGGAAGGGTCGGCAACACTGTTTAGGTCGTCCCATTTCTCCTAACACATTATGAGTAGGGAGTTTATAAGTTAAGCAGATGTCACACTTCGTAACAAACTTTACGACGTCCCGATGCATACCTGGCCAAAAATACTGCAATGCTAAACGGCGATAAGTTTTATGGATGCCTAAATGACCTGACGTGGGTTCTGCGTGATTTTCTTTGATAACGTGTTCTCGTAATTCTAATGGAACTACTTCTTTCCACGAAAACTCTGTAGTTAATAAACATTTATTTTTTGAACACCGATATAGCTTTTCCGCTTTGATTAGAAAATTTTCATATTTACTTGGATTGTTCATACAACCATTATAAATGTCTAGATACCATTTATCATTCGTTGTTAAGTAAGATTTTGCTGTGGAAATAGAAGAAACTACGACAGCGCGAGATAACGCGTCTGGAATAATGTTATCAGCACCACGTCTATGCTTGATAGTAAAATCAAAAGAAGATAGCCTAATGCCCCATCTTGCAAGCCTGCCCGTAGGGTTGTTTAAAGAGAGAAACCACTTTAATGCTGAATGATCAGTGTAAACTACAAAAGGTTGACCATTTTCAAGATAGCAACGCCAGTGTTCTAATGCTACTATTACAGCTAATGTCTCTCTCTCGGTAATGCTGTAATTCTTTTCTGCAGCATTTAGTGACTTGCTCATATAGGCAACAGGATGTTCTTTGCCATCGACTGTTTGAGTTAACATGGCACCTACTCCATAATTACTGGCGTCTGTGTGAACTTGGAAGGGCAAATTATAGTTAGGACAATGTAAGACTGGTGCAGATACTAAACATTCTTTTAGCTTTTTAAAAGCTATGTCTGCCTCTGGTGACCAGTAAAATTTTGGAGCACCCTTGCGATTTGAAGTAAGTTTATTAAGAGGCCCAGCTATAGTGCTAAAATTTGGCACAAAACGTCTATACCAGGTGGCTGTTCCTAAAAAACGTTTTACATCTTTTTTTGAAGATGGTGTTGGATACTCTAAAATAGCTTTTACCTTTTCAGGGTCTGTTCTGAGACCCTGGGCGTCTATTACGTAGCCCAAATATTTCAGACGAGACCGAAAAAATTGGCTTTTTTCAAAGTTTATTGTTAAATTTGCTTCCTTTAACTTATTTATTACACGTAATAATAAAGAAACGTGTTCATCGAATGTGTTAGAAATAATAATTATATCATCGAGGTATGCAAATACCTTAAGATCAAATGAACCAAATAATAAGTCTACAAGCCTTTGTTGGGTTGCAGGTGCATTGGTAAGGCCGAAAGCCATCCTCTTAAAACAAAAGGTCCCACGACCTTGGACATAAAAGGCAGTTTTTTCGCGATCGCGTTCTGAAATTAAAATTTGCCAGAATGCTTTAGAAAGGTCTATACTAGATATAAATTTTGCGTCTCGCAGATTATCTAGAATTTCGGAAACATATGGCAAGGAATAAGCATCGCGTTTGGTTACAGAATTTAACTTGCGACTGTCTAAGCAAATGCGCGGTTGGCCGTTTTTTTTTGTAACAATTAAGATTGGAGAGGACCAAGAGCTCTCACAAGGCTGAATTACGTCCAATGAAAGCATCTCGTCAACTTGCTGGCATAAAATTTGCTGCTTTACAGGGGACATTCGATAATAACGCTGTCGTATAGGTTTCGTGTCACCCGTATCAATAGAATGACATACAAGAGAAGTACAACCTAAGCCCTTGCGTTCGGAAGAAACGTCCTTAAATTGTTCAATTATGTCGTCAGCAATCAAGCGTTGGTTGGCATTAAGCGATGCGTATGAATGTATATGAGATTTTAATATTGATTCATTCGTGTTTGAATAATAATCGGTGAGTTCTCTTTTATATTCAATGCAGTTGATGTATTTTGGACATATGTTAAATTTTTTCCAGAAATCAATACCTAATATAAGAGAGGTCTCTATTTCAGGAACTACAAATGTCTTCAAAGTATAATAATTGTTTTCAAAATTAAATGGGAGATTAATATATCCTAAGCAATTAAGTTTTTGTCCACCGGCTGCTGTTATAGAGACTATTTCATCAGTGCGCACAGCAAATCCTTCATCTATCAGTAAGTTGTGTGCATTATTGCCTAGTAAGGTGACGGCTGAGCCAGAATCTAATAACCCCCAAAATTTTGTATTTCCTATTTTGACTGATAAATAAGGTCGCACGTCGTTAGGTGGTTTATTAAGTAGAATTGTAGCAACTGTATAGCTATTAAAAAAATTATTAATAAACTTCAACCACTGTTTCCAATCGGTATTATTAGAGTGGTTGAGGAGGTTGCTACAATTCTGCTTTATTAGTTTTTTGAACTAGACGGAATACTTGTACAATCTGGACAAGTGTAAAATGTGTAATCATCACGGCCACATTTGAAACAAAATACTTTGCGTTTTTCTGTACATTGTCTTAAGTTGTGTGTATCAACACGACACCGGGGGCAAAACTTTTGTTTACTTTCGTCATATTGAATAGCGTCAATTGGTTTATTATGACCATAAACTCTTTGTTGCCGTTGCGGATAAGTGTTGTTTAAAACATTAGAATTGGGAGAATATTTTTTATAAAGGTTACTTGAATTAGGTATAGGTTTATTATAATTATTATAAGCTTTATTGCAATTAAATTTATTAGTGGCAGAATAGTACATTTTATTTTTTTCTGCTAAATTAGTGAGTGGCTTAAATGCAAATTCGGGTGCTAGTGTGGCTGAATTTATTTTAGGAGGTTCATGATATTTATTAAGACAAGACTGTACATTCTCATAATTTTTACAAGCCGTACGTAAGACCTCAATAGATTTAAGATCAGGCACTGCAATTAAAGCGCTAGCATAACACGGTTTGATATTGTGCATAATAATTTCTAACTGATCTTCCTCCGAAGGTTTTTTAAATAAACGGGAAAACATGCCTGACATAATGGCTAGGTAAATAGTAATATTCTCAGTTTCACCTTGCGTACGAGCTTTTATCTCGTCTAATAAGCGATAATCATGATCAGGAATAACAAAAACATCCTTCAGTAATTCGCATAATCTATCCCAAGACGTAACATGTGATCTTACACTGCGAAACCAGTGTAAAGCATCACCAACGAAAATTTCTGTTCCAAAATCTATAATTTTAGAAGAGGGAATACCACGGGCTGTTATATAGTCGTTTATACGTTGGACAAACGAAAGTACGCACGTTTTTCCATCAAACTTAATACTAGTTAAGTCCGAAGAATGAGCTCGATCACATGTAACAACAATAGGGGACGGTGTAATTGTAAGAGCATCTGTAAATTCAGATGAGGAATCAGTATCAGGCTTAAGATGTTCTAAGTTTTTAAAATTTGTATTTAGCTTGAGCCTGAGGCTTTCTAGAATATCTGTAGACTTTTTATCTACAGCATCCAGACGTTGAATCCTATGAAATAGATGGTTAAGTAAGTTTTGAGTACGTTTATATAAATTTTTATCATATTTCACTGATAATGTTTTTAAATTCGTTTCTACTTTAATAAGGCTTTCGCGGATGCCCTCTACGTCTACAGAAAACTCAAACCCAGATTCAATAATATCATCCGAAGGCATCACATTGGCTAATTTGACTATCTGCCTGCGTAATTCTTGAACGTTTTCTCCGGGTGTGCCGCCTCTAATGGCCACCTCATAGCTTAGTTCGTTTTTTTGTAAGGACAAAAATTGAATTTCGTATGACATAATTTAAGAAGTCTAAGAAAATCCTTATACTAGGTTTATGTGAGCAGGTTTAAAATTCTATAATTATACAATAAAACTAATTTGTTTAAGTAAGAATCCTCCGTCCTGTTACAATTTTGGTAATAGTAATCCCCTAAGTTTTTTTTTTAAGGATGCTCGTAAAAATTACTACACGGGAAAGCAAAAAAAATAAAGAGAAAAAAAAATGCAACAATAGGGTGCAACTGTAGTATATATTTGCTTTAATAAAGCTTATTATTAAATATATTAATAAAACCAAAATATTTTATTTTTGTACGTATACAAATTAGACACAATAAGGATACCACTAAAATTAAAACATTATATACACTGCAGTTGCAAAAGTATAAAAGGCAAAATAAAAGTCATAAAAAAAAAACAAAAGGTTTACAATATACACGCACACACCACTAAAATTCCTGATCCTGAATAACCGAGTTGAGGCGCCAATGTCACGTTATTATTTTATTTGATAATAAATAAATAATAACAACAATTTTTTTTACAATGTTTAATAACACTACTTATAAAACTAGACTAATATAAGTACTTCTAAAGAGATATTTAATAACACTACTTGTAAAACTAGACTAATATAAGTACTTCTAAAGAGATATTTAATAATACTGCTTATAAAAAAATAAACTAATATAAATACTTCTAAGAAAATACTAAGTTGACTAATAATAAAAAAAAACGCAAATAAAATAAAATTAACAGGTCGCGGGTTCGACGCCTTTCAGGATCAGGAGAAAAAAAGCAAGTACTTCCCTGGCACGACTGGCGGCGAGTCCGGCGGAAGTGGTTGGAGATATGTGTCCTTTATAGACCGATTTCGCTTGCGAATTCAATGTATATTTTATATATATATATTTCATTTAATTCCAAATCCTCCCATCTTATCTCGTTTAGAAATAAAATAATAAGAAGGATGTCTCAGCCCCTGGCGAGGTTCCCCAATATAAGGGGAACAACCGTTAATATTTAATAATTATTAACAAACCTATAAAAAGCTATTAGCTATAATTTGCATAACGTATGCGTTTTGAATTATTTAATATAGATGCAGAAATGCATTTAGGCGACTGGACCTTCACGGTCACACTGAGGTCACTCGTCAGCCGCGCGGACTATTCATGCACCCCCACTTGTCTTCGCGCGAATTAGATGACACATTACACGACCAGTGACTTGTTCACGTGGAAGTCTTTCTCGTCAGTTTCTGCCGCTTGGAAAAGAACATGCCAGTGACCCTATGAAATATTTAAAATATTAGATCGAATGTAAAAGAAGCTTAATTACATATTAATAAATTCAACCAAAGTAGCTCAGATTCTAAGCGCTCGCTGTAAATTTCACAGTACTCAAACAACCAGAGTTCGATATATATAGGCTGCAAATAGTGCCGAAACCAACAGCGCTGCCTTTGCAGTATTTTGCTGAGTTGGAGACCTATTTGATGTCAAATTTAAATAATTTTTTTTTGTTTTATTTTTAATTAATTACGCATGTATGTGCTGCTCCTTATTTGGTAATAAGCGTAAACAGTCTAAGCCAGATGCGTGCATATTTTTGTCCTTTGCGTTTGTACAATATTTTTATGAGTGTGTATCAATGTGTATAAATAGTTCTTTCTTTCTTTAACAGCCCGTAAAAGTTCACTGCTGGACGCACACATTTTTTTTTTAATAGAATTATCGTGACAAACGAGCACACAGTCCACCTGATGGTAAGTGGTTGCTATGGCCCATAGACATCTGCTTCTATTTTCGTTTGCGAATTAAAATGCAGATGCGTTGTCAGCCGTGAGTACTAAGATAGAATGCCTCTTTTCCAGTAAAAAGGGTCTCCGGTTCTCTACGCTCACCATACGAAACACATCAGTCTCAAGCTGCTATTTTACGCTAGTGTTCTGTGAGAGCGTGGTCCTTCCCCGGTTGAGCCGACCCATTCGTGCTACAACTATACTATTAATATAGCTGCAGCATGGCTCTACCACGTAAAAATGCAGCTAAACCCTTGTTGTTGCTGGCACATTAATTTAGATGCAAGAGCACTTACCTACTTAAGTAAACTTTCCCGACTCTATTGACTAGTAATACCATTAATCTTCAACTCTAAGAGCTAGGACAATTTTCAATACACACATCGTCCTGGATCCTTGTAGATCACAGACATAAAAAAAATTGTCTCATGTTAATAAAGCTATTGGGCTATTTTGATTTGTAATAAAGTGATTTTACTTTATAGGTTAAATAATTTACTTACCTTTCTATATCAAGAACCATTTTTCTGTCACTCCTATTAAATTTGACAGTGCTTGCTGAAATTTAGCATCTTTAGATGGATCAGAATCGCGCGCTGATCTGGCTGTTAGATATTGCAAAAATAATCGAAAATATTTATTTTTACTTTCATGCCGAAGACTATCTTGTTTTATTTTATTACGGTCAAATAATATTTATTAGGTTATAAAGCAAGTATTTTTGTAAATTTTTTGTATGTAAATGTAAATGTTTTCATTATTTTGTTATTCTATTGTTTACAGTTATTATCACGTCTTAGCTTTACACCAAGAATTACATTAGAAATTCTTGATGGGATGCGATGTAACGCGCATATATTATTTTCATCAAGAACTATAATATATATATTTGTTTTTTTTACCAGTAGTGTTTCAACAAAATCTTAAAAAAGTTCAATGAATTAAAAAAATGCCAATAATTATATAACTTCAAGTCAGTGTTTTACATTTAAAGATCAGATATAGAGAGCCAAAGTTATTATTTTCATTTTGATTAATTTAATTCGAGACTAAAATATATGTGAAAGGTCTTTTATCTGCAATAATAATTTTCATCAAAAATAACATAGAATTATAAAAGTCATATACACACACGGTCAATCATACTGAAGATTATCAATTGTACTACAAAATATTTAAAAGACTATTTTTTTTTTATAGGAGAGGGGCAAACGAGCATGCGGCTCACCTGATGGTAAGCCTACCGCCGCCCATGAACAACCGCAACACCAGGGGAATTGCAGATGCGTTGCCGGCCTTTTAAAAAGGAGTAGGCTCTTTTCTTGAAGGTCCCTAAGTCGTATCGGTCCGGAAAAATCGCTGGTGGTAAACTATTCCACAAGGAAGTTGTGCGAGGAAGAAAACATCTTCTAAATCGCACAGTGGTGGACCGCCAATCATCCAGATGGTGTGGATGGTATCGGGAGTTCTGCCGCGATGTGCGTTCGTGAAATTTGGCGGCTGGGATTAATCCGAACAATTCATCAGAGCACTCCCCATGGTAAATGCGAAAGAAAATGCTAAGAGATGCAACATTTCTTCGCAGTGCCAATGAGTCGAGCCGATCGGAAAGGACTCGGTCGTCGACGATTCGAGCCGCTCTGCGCTGGATGCGGTCAAGTGGAAGAAGCTGGCACTGGGGAGCCCCAGCCCAGAGATGGGAACAGTATTCCATGTGAGGCCGAACCTGCGCCTTGTAAAGTTGCAGGCGTTGAGCCGGCATGAAATACTGTCCCGCTCTGCTGAGCACGCCAAGCTTTTTAGAGGCCAATTTGGCCTTCTCTTCCAAGTGACCACGAAACTGCACGCTACTCGATATGTCGACGCCGAGGATTCCGATACTGGCTGAGGCAACAAGGGGAGTACCTTGAAACTGAGGAGATACGACAAAGGGGTTCTTTTTAGCGGTAAACGCGCAAACTTGTGTCTTCTGAGGATTAAACTGGACTAGATTTAGTCGCCCCCAATCCGAGACTTTGTCCAGCAAAGACTCGACTTCAGACACAAGTTTGTTCCGGTACTCTGTGACGTTTTCCCGAGAAATATTGGCACGGCCGGTGTATAGAGCATCACCAGTGCTGTCATCTGCATAGCAATGAATGCTACCAGCTTGCAACATATCATTGATATGCAGAAGAAACAGCGTTGGTGATAGCACGCAGCCTTGTGGAACACCAGCGTTAATAGGCTTGTAGTCGGAGCATGCACCGTCTACAACGACCTTGATGCTCCGATCTGCAAGAAAGCTGGTGATCCAATTGCATAATTTCTCGGGAAGCCCATAGGAAGGGAGCTTCGAAAGAAGCGCTTTGTGCCAAACCCGATCGAAGGCCTTCGCAATGTCCAAACTAACGGCCAGTGCCTCCCCCTTGGACTCTACTGCCAACGCCCATCTATGAGTTAAGTAGACCAGAAGATCACCAGCTGATCGACCCCGACGAAAACCGTACTGGCGGTCACTAATCAGCTGGTGATCCTCAAGGTACCGCATGAGGTGGCAGTTTACAACGGATTCCATTATTTTGGAGAACAAGGGGGTGATGGCGATAGGCCTGTAGTTGGACGGATCTGAGCGGTCGCCTTTTTTAGGGATCGGGTGGACAAAAGCTGTCTTCCATGATTTCGGGACTACGCCTAGGGAGTAGGAGTACCGGAAAAGACGCGTTAGAACCGGTGCCAACTCCGGAGCACACGTCCTCAGCACAATTGGGGGGATTCCGTCAGGCCCACTCGACTTGTGGATGTCAAGGGAGAGGAGTGCTCTGCGAACCGAGCGCTGTGAGAATCGCACATCCGGCATGGAGCACTCACACGGCGGGATGGTTGACGGTGTTTTCCCCCGTCATCAACAGTCGAGTTGGACGCAAAAAGGGAGCCTAAAAGGTCGGCCTTCTCTTTTGCGTCGTGGGCCAGTGAGTCGTCCTCCCTGTGCAGAGATGGTAGTGATGGCTTACAGAAATTCCCTTGGACAGCCTTGGCGAGAGACCAGAATGCACGGGTTCCCGAAGGAAGGCGAACTAGTTTCTCGCCAATTCTGCCTATGTGCTCTGACTTTGCCTTGGCAATAACTCTTTTGAAGGACCTGGAGGCGAAGTTATACTTCTTTTTGAGTGTGCTGGTGTTTACATCCCGAGTCACCGAAGCCGCAGCCCAGGCTTGATAACACTCATGCTTACTGCGTAATGCAGTCTTACAGGAGCGACCAAACCAAGGCTGAGATCTGCCTCCGATGGGTACCACAGATGATGGAATAAATAGTTCCATTCCCTGTAGCACTACATCAGTGACAGAGTCAGTAACAGCGCTGGGATCATCCGGCGAGAAGCAAACCCGCCCCCATGGGTAGGAAGCAAAGAAAGACCGCATTCCGTCCCAATCCGCCGACCTGTAATGCCAAACACGGCGGCAACCTGCAGAACGCAACCGCGAGGGGAGCGTGAGTGGCACCACACTCCGGATCAGACAATGGTCCGAAGAGCCAAGAGGGGCATCGACGGAAACCTGATATCCGTCCGGATGAGAGGTCAGCAGAAGGTCCAACAGGGAAGGTGTATGTATGATTCTCAACATCTGGAATCCGCGTAGGCGATGTAACTAGTTGTGTCAGACCATATGCCAAGGCAAAGTCATAAACAGATCTCCCCGCATGATCGGTTAAACGTGAACCGAGCCATTCGGCGTGGTGGGCGTTAAAATCGCCAAGGATCACGATCTCTGCGGATGGGACCTGTTGTAGCAAGGAATCTGTAGCCATTTGGACGTGGTCGATGAGTCGGTCTGTTTCGGCATTACCGCTATGGGACCTATAGAGGCACACGTAGACGCGCGGATGGTCGTCGCTGTCTACGCGTAGCCAAAGGATGGACAGGTCCGAACCTTCAAGACTGCCGAGGCGTCGAGAACAGATGTCCTCTCTGACATACACGCAAACTCCAGCCCGAGGCACAAAGGAGTGCTCCAATTTGTACCCCGGGTAGGAGAGATACGAAGTATCAGCCGGAGAGGACACCTGCGTCTCGGTCAGAAAGAGCAAGGCCGGCTTCGCCGTCTCAAGATGGTAGTGGACGGCGTTTAGGTTCGAGTGAAGTCCCCTGATGTTGCAGAAATTCACGGATAGCGTGGCAGGGGTCGCCTTGGTCTTGTTGCTCAGTTTGCCCCGAGCAGTTATTGTGTTGAGCGGAATTTTGCCCCCCCCCCCAGAATACGCGGGGCAGCCTGAGCACCCACGCTCAGGAGTGGAATAGCATGGTCGTGGATGCTCAGCGAGGGATTCACCAGGGGTACTGGTACCCTCCTGGGGTA